TTGTAAGGGAGATTGAGAAAAGAATCTGTATCCAAAGTGGCCACTGTCCAGCTTAAAATTATGGGATTCTGTTACTAAGGAAGAAAGAAAGAATGGATGTTGGGGGATAATTAGTGGTCTCTACTATCCTTCCTTCCAGCCAACCAACCAATCAACCACCCAGCCAACATTTATGTTTGAGGAGCTGCCCTATTTAGTGGGAGAGACAGATATGCAAATAACTCACTACAATACAATGTGATATGGAGTATAAAAGAGGTTTTGTTTGGAGTACTGTGGAAGAACAGATGGAAGTGATCAACAGCAATCAGAATAATTAATGACTACAATGCCCTCGCTGGGGCCTCCTGCTACATTCGGACTATTGTGTATATCCAGCTCCCTTTCTTTGCAGTGAGAGCCGCAAACTTTCCTACTTCTCCATAATAGCCAACACAATGGGCCGGCAGGTGCTGTCCTGAGTTCTTCATACACATTATCTCACTGCAGTCTCGAAAGCTGAGACTGTTCTTCTCACTTACAGATGAGAAACAGGCCCAAGCCATGGAGCGGGCTGTTGGATGCGGGCAGCCTGACTCCTGAGTGCCTGGGCTTAACCTCTCTGTTCTGTCACCCCTTCCTCTGTCCCCACCAGTCTCCTCCAACAGAGAGTCTCCCCAGCCACTGCACTGTGACGGCCGATGTCATCTGGTGGGACCTTGCTTCACCTCCAGGCCAGCCCCCAACTTGCCTGCATCCCTCCCCTGGCTCGGCCTTGGTCTTCTTGGCTAGAGCTTCCCTCCCCTGCAGTCTGGAGAGGCAGCAGGCTGTGGTGGCTTAAGGAAGTCACTCGGCCTCTTTAAACATCACTTTCCTGTCTGTAAGTAGGGATGGGACTAACACCCTTGTCACGGGACTAGCCTTGCACCTACTCAGTGCTCAGAGGATGTTATTACTTTTTATCCCCCTTCCATCTGGTTCCTTGGACTGTTATCTCTCTGCATCTTCAATCAGGTCTTATTGGTTTCCTATTCCTGCCATAACAAATGACCACAAATGTAGTGAGGTAACGCATACATATTTAATGTCTTACATTCCTGGAGGTTAGAAGGTTGTACTGGGTCTCACAGGGCTAATATCTAGGTGTTACAGGACCACATCCCTTCGGGGGGGGGGTTAGGAAGAATCAGTTTTGTTACCTTTTCCAGTTGACTGAGGCTGTTTGCATTCCTCCTGGCCTTTGGGGGTTCAAAGCCAGCTGCACTGGTCCTGCCCTCAGGTTGCCTTACACCAGCCTGGATTCCTTCCTCCCACCTCCTGCCTGACCTCTTGCCTCCCTTTCTCACTGACAGGGACCCTGTGACTAAACTGCACAGCCCTGGATAATCCAGGGCACTCACTTCATCCCATCTGTGGAGTTCCCAACACATTCACAGGCTCAGGGGATTTGGGTGTGAACCTCTTTGGATGCCATTATCTTGCCTACCCCTGGGATTATTTCCCCTTGGGATGTAGTAGGTAAGAACCATCCTAAATAAAACACCTCTCCTTTAACTGTGTGCCCTTCACACTTCTTTGCTTCTTAGGCAAACTTTTGTTTTTGGTACCAGGGATTGAATTCAGGGGCACTTAATGACTGAGCACATTTCAGCCTTTAAAAAAAAATTATTTTGAGACAGTCTTTATTAAAGTGCTTAGGGCCTCAATAAATTACTGAGGTTGGTATTGAATTTGCAATCTTCCTGTCTCAGCCTCCCAAGTGGCTGAGATTACAGGTGTGCACCACCACGTCGGCTCTAGGAGTCATCTTAATTAGGTTTCCCACTTCCTTAAAACCCGCTGCAATCTGTGTCTGCCCCCACATCCCACCAAACCGACTTTTGCCCTGGTTACAGTGGCTTTGGTGACTCTTTTCGTTATGAACCAGCTGCATTGTCCGTGCTGTCTGCTCATTCCTGCTGGAGACCTTCCTATCCCTATCTTCCTTTAGGTCATTTTGGTTTTCTTTCTCATCCTCCCTGGCTTCTTCCTCTCCTCTGTGAGCTATGCTGTTCCTCTATGAGCTGTGCTGTCTCCACCCACCTGTGAAATGTCCATGTTTCTCTGGACTTTAGGTTTGATCCCTTGCTCTTTTCTTGCTAGTTTTAAATGCCACTTACACAAGGATGGCCGACTCCTGTTTGTGCTGTGGAAATCTCTGGCCCCTGGCTGGGAGTGTTGGTGAGGAGTGTGCTTCTACTACTAATCTCATGAGCTCATCAGCTCTTCAGTCTTCCTTGACGTACACACAGTGAGAGAGCCCACTGAGGTAGTGACTTGAGAACCATGAAGCCTGGGGCACTTGGTGCTTCTGTTCCAGACTGTGTGGCTGCTTCCATGGAGATGGAGCGCCATCCTCTCAGGACTTCTCAGAGGAAGGTGTGAAAGACAGCAGGCCCAGGTGTGCCAGAGGACAGATCCGTGTTTAGTGGGGGTGACAGGGAAGCAGCAGGGATAGCAGCTTTTGGGTAGTGTATTTACTGGTGCAAACTCCACCTTTACCTCTGTGATTTGTAACTCCTGGAGCTCTGAAGGAGTTACATGCTCACTAGTTCAAAGGCACAGAACTATTCATGGGAAGCTAAGATGCATCCTGACGGTAGTTAGACACACAAGACTCTCACCAGGGAACAGTTTAACCAAATAGTGAGGCTGCCTCTGAATGCAAGAAGACTGCTGGTGGGGGCGGGGGGCCGTGAAACTGAAGAGTGGCCTGGGGTCAGTCAGGAGATTCAGAGAGGAAAAGGGACTTGGCCATGGAGTGGACAGGGAGTGAAGAGGAGGAAGGCCATTTGGGGTAGGGGAATAACTATGTGCCAAGGTAGAGAATCAGGATAACAGATAATCTATTTGGGGAATAGGGAGATTGTAGGGGAGATGAGGTCAAAGATGAGGACAGCAGCCGGAGCATCTGGGCCTCATAAGGGCTTTAGGTAGGTTCTAGCAGGAAGTTTGAACTTGATCTCGCTGGCAGTGGGAAGCTATCGAATTTTTTGTTCCAGTTCTGGGCATTAAACCTAACATGCATAGTCAGCAAGTGCTGTACCACTGAACTATGCCTCTTACCTGAAGAAATGATGGGTTGTGTGTGTGTGTGTGTGTGTTTGTGTTTGCTGGGAATTGAACCAAGGGTCCTATGTATGTTAGGCAAGTATTTTACCACAGATCTACATCCCCAGCTCCTATTTAAAGGTTCTGATCACAGAAATGACTTGACAGAGTTCAGCTCTTTTAGGAAGATTACTCTTTGGTAGATTGGGGAGGGATTGTTGGGCCTTAGATCTTAAAATATGCAAGGTATACTTTTAGAGGATATACCTTGATAATTACTGGCCCATTCCTATAATCTTATATTCCTATAATTTTATATGTGTGTATATTTTTAGATGTAGGTGCATATTTATATATAATATATAATCATTTATAACATGTATTTTAAATTTACTCTCACACATATTAGATGGCCTAGGTGAACACATAGTGACAAAGCTAGCATTAGAACTCAGGTCTACCTCCTAGTCCAGTGATCTTCTATATTGATCTGAGTGGTTGCAGAGGTATCTGAAAGGAGGCTGTCCAACTGTCTAGGCACATGGTGATGCCAGTCTTGACCAGGGCAGACACCCAGGTAAAGACCATGTGGGAGGCAATGAAGACATGTTGTCTCTCCTCCTCTCTCTCTCGGTGGGGGTGGGGACATAGGGCTTGTTGGAGACTGCGCATGAGTGCATCTCTCTTTCCTGGGTCCTGCAGCATCCTTCTGGGCCTGGTTTCTATGGCAACAAGCTCCCAGCAGGCAGCCCGCCAGCTGGAGGGAAGCAGGCAGGCAGGCAAGGAGAGAAGGCCTGGGCAGTGTGGGGAAGGCTGAAGTTGGCGGGGGTTGGGAGTCTCCTGGGAAGCTGGACAGGTCTCTGGAGCTGTCCCAACAAGCCTGTCTGTCTTGTGACCATGTGTGAAGGGGGCGGGAAACTCAGGACCCATAGATCTTTCTTGTGAGATCCTTGCATTCTCAGATGTAGAACTTCTGTTCATCCTCTGTCCCCCCGCATCTCCTGACTCCCACTTCTTAAAAGTATTGTCAGACCCTAACCTTATACCTCTTAGGAGGCCACTGAGTTCTTTATAGAAAAGAGCCCCTACTCTGAACTCAGGGGAAAAAATTGAACAAGGCCAATTGACTTTCTGTTTTGCATAGGATTTGCATATTATTAACTCAAAGACAAGAAATTTCCAGGCCCTGTGTCATTCCTGCCAACAACTTAATTCAGCTCCACTGGCACTGGCATACTGTGTCTGGCCAGGCTCTGGGCTGAGCTGTCAGGGTCCCTAGGGGAGAAGTCCTCCCAGCCGCCTGCCCACTCCACCCCCAGCTGCTCCCAGGCACCTCCTCCCCTGATGTTCTAGCAGCTGCTGTGGAGTGTGGAACAGAGTGCTCCAACTGCGGAACCCAGCAGGCAGCCCTGGGTCCAAATTCTGGATCTGCTACTTTGTGGCTGGGTGATGCTAGGCCTCTGGGCCTAGATTTACTCATGGGTCTTAGGGCTCAGTACACACTGTACAGCTAGTGCAAACCAGCATGGATTTACCTTTGTTAGAATGCTGAATACATTTGCATTCATCCATAAAGAGTTAACACTACCCTGGACCCTACCTGGGACCCTCTGATCTACCTCACAATCCAGCTTCTACAGGTACCGTCCCAGCACTTTGGTCACAGTCTGCTCGGATTGGTATATGACAGCGTCTGTTCTGGCCATGGAGTACTGGTTGTTAAATATTTTGACTGTCACCCTGTCGAGAGGTGGTGCGATGAGTAGGTATATTGGGTACCTACTAGTTGCAAGGACTCATCCATTTCCAGTGCTTGGCCTCATGCTCACTGCTTTGTAGGTTCCCTTGCTCACTCCTTTCCCCTTTTGCCTGGGATGTGGGTGAGGGCTAAGATGGTCAGGGACAGAGGGGACAGGCACCTCTCTCCACAGGCGGGCAAGGTTCAAGCGCTCCAACAGCGTGACGGCCGGTGTGCAGGCAGACCTGGAACTGGAGGGCCTGGCCGGCCTGGCCACGGTGGCCACAGAAGACAAGGCCCTGCAGTTTGGACGATCCTTCCAGAGGCATGCCTCTGAGCCCCAGCCCGGGCCCCGGGCCCCCACCTACTCAGTCTTCCGCACGGTCCACACACAGGGCCAGTGGGCCTACCGCGAGGGCTACCCACTGCCGTATGAGCCGCCGGCCACCGATGGGTCGTCCGGCCCTGCCCCCGCCCCCGCCCCTGGCCCCGGGTCTGGCCGCCGCGACTCCTGGATGGAGCGTGGTTCACGTAGCCTCCCCGACTCAGGCCGCACGTCCCCCTGCCCACGGGACGGCGAGTGGTTCATCAAGATGCTGCGGGCAGAGGTGGAGAAGCTGGAGCACTGGTGCCAGCAGATGGAGCGTGAGGCGGAGGACTATGAGCTGCCTGAGGAGAGTGAGTTGGCCCCATCCAGGAGTGTTGCAGGGCTGGGGGCTGGGGGCTGAGGGCACAGGGGACCGTGGAGCCGGGAGAGTGGGGCTGCAGCATAGTAGGCTCCCCCCACCCCGTGGGACTGAGTTTGCCTTCTTTCCTGGTTCTTCAGCCCCAGAGTTGGGGAGGTGGGGGGTCAGCAGTGGCAGCAGGACCTGCTGGGAGCTCTTAGAATCAAGCCGCTCTGATCAGGTAGAAGGCTAGATGTTTAGAAGATGGCTATCAATCCAGGTCACCAAATCCATGAGGACAAAGGGAATCCAGATCTGAACTGGTGTAGGGATCCAGAGTGATCCAGGAGCAAGACCTGGAGGTAGAGGGAAGGTAGTGCCAGACAGATCAGATCTGAGGCTCAGCTAAGCAGTCATTGCCCTGGCTTGAGAGGGCATGGTCTCTCCCTGTAAATCCAGGCTGAGGGGAGGGGAGACACAGTCTCTAACTTTATGGGACTAGGAAGTCAAAGTGTCATGTTCATGAAATTACCTAATAATAATTCTTTTTTTTTTTTCTTTTGTGGGGCCGGGGCTGGGACTGGGGATAGAACCTGGGATTCCCAAATGCTAGACAAGTGCTCTACCACTGAACTTCACCCCTAGTCGTCCTTATTTTTGTGATAGGGCCTTGCTAAGTTGCTGAGCGTCTAAGTTTGGTCAATAGGGCTAGGTTGGGGCTGGTATCCATCTGTTCTCTGATGTGGAAGGAGGAGGATACAGGATGAGTGCTTAGCTAATGTAGGCTGTGTGAAGGAAGGAGCATCAGTGCCTCAGGATTCAGTCCTCTTGGTGAGGTGGGCAGGGAGCTGCTAGTCAGGAATTGAGGATGGGGATGGGGAAGGGGCTGGGGGAGATAGACTGTGCAAATAACTGAGTGGTGAGAATCATTCAGGGCAGACTTCCTGGAGGTGGGGGAAGGAGATGTCTCATTCTCCTCCTTGAGTTTCCTTCTGCTCTCCAGTCCTGGAGAAGATCCGCAGTGCTGTGGGCAGCACACAACTTCTCCTGTCCCAGAAGGTCCAGCAGTTCTTCCGGCTGTGTCAGCAAAGCATGGTGAGTGCCCATAGGAATACAGCCTACCAGGTTTGTTGACCTGGCAGATGATCCAGAATGTGACCTGGAGGTAAGACCAGGTCTGTGTGCCTGCAGGAGTAGTTTTGAGTATATTGTGCCAGGAGAGGGGGTCAGATATTTGTGCCCAAGAAAGGAGAGACCTGGGCTCTTTTTGGTCTTGCTTTCTCCCACCCCCAACCCTTCTCCCAGGTTGAACTTCCTGAGGGTGAGATTGGATGGGGTTATCTGTGGTCCTGACTGGGGTCAGACCTCCGTAACTGGCTGCCCCCACTATGTCTTCCACTGCTGCAGGACCCCACTGCGTTCCCCGTGCCCACCTTCCAGGACCTGGCGGGTTTCTGGGACCTCCTACAGCTCTCCATTGAGGATGTGACCCTCAAGTTCCTGGAGTTACAGCAACTCAAGGCCAACAGCTGGAAACTCCTGGAGCCTAAGGTGTGTGTTGGGGGGTGTTTCTAGAGGCCACACTGTGGACAATTACCTTCCATGGAGAGATGTGTATGAAGGGGAAGGACCCATGAGGAGGGACCCATGGGCAGCAAGGTGATGGGTGACCATCCGCTTCCAGAACTTCTGGTCATTGCAATCTGGGTGGCCCCAGTACTTATCACTGCCTGAACTTCCAGAGCTGCTTCAGGCATCTCTGGCCCTTGCAGTTTGGAAGAATAGAACTAGACCTAGAAGGTCACCTTCAGCTCAGGCCTACGCATAGAGGACAGAGCAGTATATATACCCTCAGACCTCAGCCTACTAGATCCTGTCTGCCATGGGTCTCAAAGGAGTAGCGGGTCACCTCGCTTGCTAGCCTCGGTTCTCAGAGCTGTGCCCAAGTCCACCTGGCGTGAAAACAGTCTCTCAGCCAGCATCCCGATGCGAGCTGTTCAGAACTGCTCCACCAGGGGGCGCTCGAACACGTCACGTTTTAGTGAAAGATTGGGGGGCGGGCTTTGACCTTGGCAGATCGAGTACACCTGGGGCTTCTAGTCGCGGCACCCGCGTTCAGAGTCACACAGTTTCCATCCCTCCGGGAGCTGGGGTGTGGGGGCACGGGATGCCGGGTGGATTCCCCGCGCCCAAGCTCAGCCGCCCGCTCTCCCGACAGGAGGAGAAGAAGGTCCCTCCGCCGATACCAAAGAAGCCCTCGCGGGGCCGGGGCGTGCCGGTGAAGGAGCGCTCCCTGGACTCCGTGGACCGGCAGCGGCAGGAAGCGCGCAAGCGGCTCCTGGCGGCCAAGCGCGCCGCCTCCTTCCGCCACAGCTCGGCCACCGAGAGCGCGGACAGCATCGAGATCTACATCCCCGAGGCCCAGACCAGGCTGTGACCCGCCCGGCCCGCCCAGCCCGGCCCGGGCCCGCGGTTTTCTACCCGTACTGTACACCCAGCGTCGAGGTCACTGTGAACGCGGGCCGCCCAGTGCGCCCGCCGCGCCGGCACCGCACGCCCCGGCCCCTCCTGCCCGTCACACTCTCGTGGGTTTTTTACCTTCCTGACCCCACGCGAAGGCGCCCGGGCTGGGCTGGGGGCCGTGCCTCTCCGCCCTGCGCTCCCCACCTGGAACCCCCACCTTCCTGGTCCGACGCTTTGTCCCCACCTCCCCATGGGCACCATCTCTGCCATTATTTCCCCCCACGGGCCAGGCCGGGCCGGGTCCCTCATCTGGGCTCTGCGTCCCCCCACCCACCCCGCGGGGCTGGGCTTCGTGGGGATCAAGCTTCGTGGCTTTTTATGAAGAATCCCAAACCCCGCCTAGGAGCCCACCCCACCCTCCCAGGGCTCCACCTTCAGCCCTCAGCCCACAGGGCCCAGGGACCACAGTGGCTGGACCAACCCAGGACCAGGGCGCCTGGGCCTCTCCCCTTTCCCAACGGCTGGGGAGGGGAGATGGGGGCTTCCCCTCACCACACCTGTGGCTGTTCCCACATCCCGAGTATCCCAGGAAAAATAAAACCGCAGAACTGCACTTGAGCCAGCTGCTCTCTCCAGAAGAGGCCACCTCTGCCTGGGGGTGGGCGTGGCAGGGAGGGGGGCAGAGAAGTGCCATGCTGGTGCTCTTGATTTTGGGACAGCACAGGTCCTAAGCCCCTCCACGGGAATGGGCCAGCTTGGAGAAAGGGGATTTGGCCCTCTGGTGGCCACAAAAAGGACCGAGGCTTTCCTGGAGGGGCTCTGGTGGCCTGCAGAAGGGAAGGTGACAACCTCTTCACTCTCCCTGGTTCAGTTTGGTTCCCTTTCTGCCTCCCATTCCTCTTAGGGTTCCCCCAGAGCGGGAAGCACTGGCGCCCAATGCGAGGCACACAGCATGTGCTCAACAAACAGTGTGGTTATTATTAGGTATCTACAAATATGGTTTCTCTTCCCTTGAGGGCACAGTGTTCCTTCTGCTCCAGTCATTCCTAATCAGCAGCAGAAAACTATTCAGAAAAGTGCTGCAACTTCCTCTGATGCCTCCTATGGGTGGACACTGGGAAAAGGAGGTAGAAGGAACATAACTTTCCTGGGAAGCCAATCCAGACCTAGTAGTAGTGATGGCTAATATTTATCAAAAATGCTTCATGTGGGTCAGGCAAGGGATGCATGCATTATGTGAATATAGCTCATTCTTACAATGGAGGACAAAGCTGAGTCCAAGGAAGGTTAAGTGATTTGTCCAAAGTCATAAAGCTAGAAGTGGTATCCCAGGTCTATTGCCAAGTCATGACTTCTTAGTTTTATAGTCTTCCTAGCTCACGAAAGACTTGGTTGCAGCCCCCACCCAGAAAGCCCTATTTGTAGTCCCTTGAGGTTAGTGTGTCACCTAATCCCCTCAAGGGGTTGTTTGCTCTTCTGGGCTCTCCTGGACCAATTCTCACATTTATTCAGCAAACATCACTCTCAGACACCACAGAGGTAACCCTGAACTGTGCAGTTTCTGTCCTTATAGAGCTTATGTTCTTATGGGAAAACCAGACAAGTAAACAAGCAATTAAAATGCAGTGGTGAGTGCTGGGAATGACTAGGTATTAGCCACTGACAAAGGGCTGGGGCTGGGAAGAATGTTCCAAGATCAGGGAACAGCTGTGGAAAGGCCTGGAGGAGAAAGGGCATTGGGAAGGCAGAGATGGATCATGTGGGCTTCTGGATCTGGTTGAGGAGGGTGGGCCTGCATTCTGTGTGCCCTGGGGAACTACAGATGGGTTTTGAAATGAAGAGTGGTGTAAACGTTTTATAGGCTGGTTTGGGAGACTACTACTCTGACAACTACTATTCATGCACACTCCCATGAGCCCATGAGGAGGGCTCCCATGTGATCTGAATTCCCCAAAGCAAATTAGCTTGGAGCTGATCCCATGCAGATTCCTGGCCTTGGTCCAATACTTAGTGAATAGACCCCATCCTTGAATGGTTATTTAACAAGTGGTCCAGGTGATTCTGATGTGAGGCCAAGTTTGGGAACACAGGTTGGATCACACAGGCTTCCTTTAGAAGTGATGATTTGTCTCTCTCCCATAGATTTGGCAAGGGAAGCCTGGACTGCATTACTTCTCTGAGATTGTTTCATGTCTAAAATTGGGACATGAATGAGTTTGGAACTAGACAGTACTCAGAACGATCTTGTGAAGTGGGTGTTGTTATCACCTCCATAAGGAAACTGAGGCTTGGAGAGGTTAAACAGCTTACCTCAAATCCTGAAGCTAGGAAGCAGCTGAGTCCAAGTTCAACCTTCTACATTATACCATTGTTTTTTTTTTTTCAAGGTCCATATCTTTTCTCAGAAATGGAGCTGGGTTTCCTGGATCAGGAGGTATATGGGAGTGGGCACAGAGGAGCAGGTCAGTTTCTGCAGTTCTGATCATCTTGCTACTGGCATGATGTTTAAAATATCCCCAGGTGATGCTAATGTGGGGCACTCCCCTTAGGTTGTTGTGACCTGGGTAGTTGTACTGAGCCCTAAGGGTATATTAACGTGGAGACCAAGTTCCTGTGCATGAGTTAACCCCAGTCTGGCCATAGCCAGGAACATGAACAGAAAGGCTACAAAGGGAGGTAGGCCTGCTCCCCTAGGAGGTCTGAGGAGATGAGAGTGGGGAGGTGCTAGCAATCAGGGTGCCAGTCTGTTTTGTGTTGCTATAATAGAATACCTGGAAAATTTATAATGAGCAGAAATTAATTGACTCACAGTTTTGGAGGCTGGAAAGTCCAACACCATAATGCCTAAAACCAGGGCACAGCCTTGTATGCCTGTAGTTCCAGCTATTCAGGAGGTTCATTTGAGTCCAGATGTTCAGGGTCAGCCTGGAACACAGAGCAGGATACTGTTAAAAAAAAAAAAAAAAGTGCCTGCATTTGGCCAGGGCCTTCTTGCTGCATCATCCCATGGTGGAAGGCGAGAGAGGGCCAGAAAGGGGAAGAGGGGGCCAAACTCACATCTTTAAAAGGGTACCAAATCCCACCCACCCACGAGAATGGAGTGCTCAGCCAAATCACCTCTTAAAGACCCCATTATAACAGCAATTAAATTTCTATATGAATTCTGGAGGAACATACATTTAAACCCTAGCATAGGAGCCCGAGAAAACTTTCTGCTTTGTGAACTGAGTCTCGAAGGATGAATTAGCATTTTGCAGTCAAGGAAGAGAAGGGAGAACATTCCTTTCAGGTGAAGGGATCAACTTTGGCAGAAGCTTGGAAAGGGTATGTGTGCTAGGAATGATGGGAGAGCAAAGGATGGAGGTGGGCACTAGGCTGGGATGGGGTATGGGGGGAGTGGAGCGATGTGGCCAGAAGGGACCCATGGTGGCAGTGGGGTGTGAGGAGCTAAACTAGGGATTTCATGTTTTTGGTTTTTTTTTAAGTTTTTGAAAGACCCTTGGGCCAAAAGGATGTAAGTGGTCTGGAGGGGGCAATAAGAAGGCAGGGAGACCATTGATAATGGGATCCAGGTAAGAGGGAGTGATGTTGACTTTGAGAGACATTTAGGAAGCTTTGGTGAAACAATCTCAGAGAAGTGACCTTGAAAGTCACTCAGGTTTTTGGCTTGATGAGTGAATAAGGCCAAAAA